CTAAATAATATTTTAAAAGTAGCTAAAAAAATTATAAAACGAAATATTTTTGTAAGACAATTCAATGTCACTTCACAACATAAATCATGCTGTAAAAAGGTACCAGAACAGGAAATAAATACCATTACCATTACCATAAATAATTATCATAATAAAGATCCACGCTGTTAGCAAAAAACATTTAATTCTCTTAACGTAGTTAATACTTTTATATGACATCGGGGCTTACAGCTCACATGTAGAGTGCTAGAGTTGCGCATCTAAAGTTTCACATGATATTTGATATTTCTCTCACTCCAAACTTATCACATACCATGTCTTATTTGCAAAACAATTATTAATTATAATTTACCAGGTACGGTGAAAGACAGAGTTTCCCCTAAATGGGCTTCCAGAATATTGCAGTGCTCATACATGCAAACACACACGATATTTCCATCATATTTAAAATGTAAAACGTTATTATATAAGAATGTATTAAAACCATACGTTTCTGGGAGGGCCGCTATGTGTACGACTCTCGAACGGAAGGTGTGCTTCGAATCCGAGAAAAACGCAATAATAAAAACAATCAAGACAAACCTGCAAACTGCCACCTCCAATTACCATATAAATATGAAATAGTCTCTTACATTAATCAGACACAAACAGTAGAAAAAAAATGTTGGCACTAAAAGGGATATAACTACATGATGTAAGTGTCTGTTTCTATGTATCTGAAATTCCTTATTTGACCGCCTACCTCCTGCCATGCTGCAATATGCTTTGAAATTGTTGACTGAATTAAAATTGATGTATTATGGCAAGTATTAAGCCACTACATACCAAACCAAATACTAATCACAAGAGCAATTATAGCACAGAGCTGGGTTTTATGCTGCTCATTTGTACTAGCTTCAAGGCAAAAGACACTAAATCAGTAAATACTGTCAACCATGCTGTAGAGGCTGTTTAGTACTAACAGCAGGGATACTACTAAGGAAGAAGTCCTCTAACTCGATAACGTGGCCTACGGTCTGATAAGAATTCATTATATTCTTCATAACTGTACTGACCCAAACCGGAAAGAATACTGTACATATAATTGCAGCAATTTGTCTAAATAACAACTTTACTGAGTTACTACAATTGTACAATTTATCAAAATTTTATTATTTGTAGGTAGGGGGTGGTAAATGAAGGCCAGGTAACAGAAAAGCAGAAAATAAATATATTTAAGTGACGCGTGAAGGTGATATAAGACACTGCTCCTCGTTACACGAGCTGCTGAATATTTTATTTGTGAAGTATCTTATTCCAAATGTTTGAATAGGTTTTGCAGAGCTCTAGGGCCCCCAAGTTAGTTTAAATGCTTTAACAAAATGGTTATGTGACTCCTTTTTAAAAAATACTGCTACATAAAAAAGCATATACAATAATCAGAAGCGGGTGAAAGACAAACATTACTGAAAGAATATTAAACCTGTCATTAGTCAATAGTTACATACGCATGTAAAAATTGTTGACTGCAAAATAATATGCCTAATAACTATTCAAACTAAAAATAATATGGATGTTTTCAAAAAATTGTGCCTTTCAAGACAGAAAATCTTGATACGTCCATTGTATGTAATAGATACCTGCATCTGTATTTTAATTAAAGTCATGAAAAATTACTATTAGAAAATCAGACATCATGCCAGTTTTAAATTTTCATCAGAAAATTAGTCTTAAAACTATTCTGAAGCAGCAGTAACACTATTCAAAACACAAACTGAAACTCAGGCACATGACCGAATTAGCAAAATTACATAGAACAACAAATACAAACATTTTCTTTAGTAGTATACAGCAATGAGATGCATATTTGCACAAAATTTAAGAAATTAATCGTTTAATTAAACACAATCTCTCTAATTAAATGTTTAATCTGTGGCCAAATGCTACAGTTCAGTATGTAATTCTTAGACATATTACTGCTGTACATATTCTTCCAATCTGACAATGTCAAAAATGAAATATCATATGTCTGTCTCAAGTTACTGAATAAATAATCTTCCCATTGAGAGTGAATGTAGGCAGGTCGTCGTTTGTCCTGTGGTTACTTGTTGGTGTGGCAGTTGGGTGTTTACCTACGTTTGTTTGCCTATTCCATGGCCATTAATGATCACATGCCCAAAAACAACAACACCGGCTGAGTCACATTTTCAGCAATCGGGTGTATCAGCAAATGAATCTAATACCTGTTTCTCTTAGCACTAAATGTAACAAAGAACCGTGCGAATTGACCCTCCGTACAGCCATTGCTCATATGAGCCGTGATTAGAGTAGTAAAATTCACACAGGCAAATAAATCAGACCTGAAGCTTGGTGTCAGAACATAAATTAATCAACCTGGAAGTGAAACACACGACTGCATAATATAACGCAAACACATAAAGAGCATAGACCATAATATAAGCAATGGCAAGTACCGCAAAACTGATATAAAAACCAGCAATATTACAAATAATGTCTACTGTACTGAGAAAAAGATACATTTCCATTGTCTGGATATCGCATCAAACTTACCCATCCATTTGGCAGACTTAAATGAAACTGGAAATGATTCACTTAAATTTTAATCTAGATTAACATAGCAATACAACACGGCCAAACGGAACTTCTTATAATACACATAACTTGCACTACAAGCCGTGTCTGGGTATGGCCTGGGGAAGAGACTTAAGCAAAAAATTTTTATTAAGCAGGCTCAGTTCAGGTCACTTGTGGAACTTTTTGCATAATTGCAACTGCAAAATATATTTCATACAAGCATTTTTTATTCTGTTGCTTTTACGAGCAGTGGATTTAAAAAGAGATTGAATCACAAGCACAGGTGATTTTTAATAATACCACTTACAACACAGGTTACAGGGTGACTATTCTCTGGACATAATGCTGAGTGTAGAAAACAAGTTAATACTATCAGGTCTTTTGTATCTTAAGTCCATAGAAAAGCGTCTAACCTCACCTGGATTTTCAAGAATAGATGCAACACATATGGCACTTCTTAGGCCAGTTAAACGGGTTGGGCTAATGAGATATTAAAGAAGTTCAGAACTGCGATCAATCATCAGTTAGCTGTTTCAATCATATGACACTCAAGGAGCAATCAATAGACAAGTAATGGCACCAAATCAGTTTCATGCTCTGCACTCGAAGCAGTTGATTCAAATGTCATTCTTAAGATCAGTGTCAATACCAAGATACAACAGGGAAGAAATAATGAAGGAATCCTTCATCATTCAATTTATTAAAAAAAAAATCTATGTTATAACCCATTAAATCACAAGGAACTGGAAATTCACAGCCTCGTAATAGAACAATTCCAACTAAAACATGAAGCAGTTGAAATTATATTACTAGAACACTCTCTGGGTTTATTCCAACTAAGACTGTAAATAAGCCAGCAAACTTTGGAAAATTTATTCAGGAGGTACCTGACCTCAGATGGAAATGCAAAGAAAAAAAAAAAACACTGGTAAAGTTTCTATATTGTTGCTGCTAAAAGTAAACTCAAATCATATAAGAACCATTAGTATTTGAAATAATTATTTGATTATAAATACATGTTCATTTCTGCCTAAGAATGAATATGTTGCTCTGGAACTGAACGCTTAAGATCTTATACAGGCCTTCTTATCTAATCTATACACATTCTGATAGGCAATATTAGTAAAGCAGATGTTTACTTATCTATTTTAATCTCTGATCGCCACAATTTTAATAGCACACAATAAGAAAGCTTTAATATTCTCAACCTTGGAACTACCCGAAATAGGTATTTTATCTTCTAATCCATTCTTATTGATTCAGATCGACCTGCTCATATGAATATTTATTAAAGTCATGTAAGATTATTAATATAAGACATATTACGAGTGCAAGATGCAAATATTAGGTGTCTACATGCAAGGATAAATATATTTTAAACGGGTATTATTTATTTTTAAACCCTCTGATGTCCGTAAATGTAAGCGTATCCAATGCGTACTAACATTCACCTTCACAGATCACGGTATTGTGAAAAGAAAAAAAAACTTTTAAAAACACTTTCTGAATGAAACAAGTACATTGCTGTTTTGTAGTAAAGACGCGAGCCTCTACATAGTAATCACAGGATGTTATATGGTAAATGTATGCATTTTTTAGTCACTAAATTTTAAGATCTATTATTAAAGGTCTGATACTACCCACCATTTATAACGCCATAAAAAATAAGTAAATTAATTATTACCTGTGGCGTGTATAGGCCTATATTATTTTAAAGTAGCCTAAATATGTTATACTATAATACTTTTAAAAATGTTACTTTTTAAACTCTGGCATTTAAATAAATCTGCATACAAAACGAAAAAGTAAAAGCGCAAACTTATTCTAAATTACTTTCTTAACCCTCCACTTGTACAAAATGCAAACATATATTAAGATACAGAAATACTTATATAGACAAATTAAAACAAGCTGATGGTGTATGAATTATCACTAATATGACAAATAACGGCAGAACTAAATACAGGACGATGTTTTTGTTTTGCTATTTATACATGTCTCAATTAATGCTAATTCTGAGTTATTAATTTAAGAGCATAATTCAAACCACATTTGAACAACTTCTGAATTTTAATTGACATCTAAAGCGCACAGGCTGCGCTGCTACTTCATTTTATGTACCGATTGAAAAAATCAACGAAATGGAATTCGTGAGATACCTACATTATAGACATAAAATAAGTGCAACTTTGAATAAAGTTTAATCTATTGAAAAAAACTGTATATTTTCATTTAACAATTTAAAAGCGCGTTAATTTAAAGATGCGGGACATTAAATTATATTGATTGCGTATTTTGTATTCGGCTTTTTCCACTGCAATTTTTCCTTTTATTTTGTATGTTAATTTGTGCAGTATAGGTAGGCTACTTTAGCAAAAGTTTACATTCATCTTAGATAATCCAAAAGGAGATTAATGGGTGATTACCTGAAGTCTGGATAAGGTCCGTCTAGCCTGTCGTTTTTCAAGCAATGGGAGCCGGAGTAGGGAGTCCAGCCGAACATCCCGCCGGGGTACCAGGGCTCATAAGCGGACCTTTTCCGCGCAGCATCCCCTTTCCAGTGCTCGTACGGATTGCAAACAAATGAATTACAGGATCTGGTACCATACTGGTACGCGGCGGGTCTAGGCTGGCCCTTCGGGGCGTCGTAGATCTCGTTACTCGTGTTTTGGAGATCCCAAGGCCCCGGAGGTGTCTTATTTATTTGCTTTGCTGTCATCTTGATGTTGTGGGACAGATTATCGGCGCGACTGTTGTCCAGGTTCTGCTCGAGTTCGTTCGCGAGACTAGGAGATGTATGCGCGACGATAGTTGCGCGGCTGTTGGGTACAACCAGCAGAGCATCGTTTTGATTATAGTTTGCCGTGTTTGTTGGCAGCACCTGGGCGTCGAGGCATGCCCTGTGCATATTAGAGCAATTCAGAAAGAAAGTATCCGTGTTTCTGCAAGTTGAGAATTTGATCTCCGAAAGCATCCCGGGCTGCTCTTCCCATCTGGAGCGGCTTCCCCTTACGTTTTGCAAAGGCATCGCTTCGCAGGGCAACTCGCTTAAATCGGTCGCCTTAAACATTTCGCCATGCTTATCGCTGTCGCTTAACGTTGTTTCTTGGTGAGTAATGAAGCATTTATAATTTAGCGGGGTACTTGTCCCGTCTTCGGCGTGCTGGTAAGGAGGCACTTCAAATAAATAGGGCTCCTGGCGTTGGTCGTGCTGGAAAGTGGACGCGTGTTCCACTCCCCGATCGCCCTCGTTTCGGTCCACGTTAAAACCCAGAGACACGGAGACGGCGTTGCACAACTCCCTGGCCGTCTCCGAGATAGTGGTGCAGGCGGACTCGGTTCCGATACCCCCCATGCATGTGTCACCGGGCGATTTAATGTCTTTATGACAGGGCGCTTTAGGCAGAGAGGATCCCTTATGCAAACCGAGGGCGAAGGGACCGCGTACGGTCTCCACACCGTCCATCTCAAGCTTAGTAATCTCCTTTTTGCGATCCAGTCGGATCAGGGAAAAATGGCCCGATTTGGTTTCGGCGTCCGGTACCGTAGAAAAGCAAGAACTCCTGTCTTCTTCCGTCACTGCGCCGTGAGAATCACAGGAGGTCCCATAATGTAATCCGTGTCCCTTGCGGGCTGACTGCATATTAGTTTGTCCGATCTCGCAGGGCTTTTTATCCTGCGAGAAACTGTACCTGGGATGTAAGTCAAAGTCCTCCGGGTCAGCGCTGTTACTCTGAAGCGCAGCTCGTAAGTTATGTAAAACGCTTGGGTAAGGTCCGCGGAAAACAGTGCGTGGGGAGTCACAAACTCCTCCTAACCCGACTGGGATCTCCATAATCCCAAATCAGCGTTATTCCTGATTAATCAGCGTGATGATATATCAACCCACTGCTAAGGAAAGCCGAACCTAATTTGACTGGTGAACAACACGCACATTTAACCAAATGACATTCGGTGTGAGTAAGTCCTTCCGATTGCTGCGTTACTGTAGGGTGGCTGTCGGGTTATAAAAAAATCAGTTTTATGAATTGCCGAATTTAAGATGCGGAGGGTTTTAAATAAACGCAGTTCGCCGGCGATGCACGTGACGTGGCCAAGGAGAAAGAGAAGGACTCCGGAAAAAAAAAAACGATAAATCAAACGCGGTAGCCTGGTGGTGACTTTCAAGCCATCTTACTGAAGCTGGTGCTCAGGGAAATACGGGACATAAAGGTGCCGGATTTCAATGTAATACAATTTTCATAGCCATCCAGGTGGAAAATCAGCATTATTCAGTACTGAAATTTAAGTTGATCTTTCCCTGGAAGGAAGAAGTTTGTTTTCTTTCGTTGTTGCAAAAAGTCAGGGAACTATATATGTACTGTATTTAAAAAAAGAAAAGAGAAAAAACACGAGGAGCACTGCCTAGGGTTACGCGACAGATTTCAGATTTCACTACATCCTGAAGATTTGCATTTCACTCTCAGATTGAAATATAGACCCCTGCGTTATTTATCCTCTAGTAAATATTGGACAGTTGTTATTTTGTTAAGGGTTTTCCCGTGGAGCACGCCTAACTACAGCAGTTCTTGTGGCGCCTGATTTTGTCCTCCCTAAGCTTGGCATCTAGCCCTTGACACTAAATATTAAATTCCTTGGGCTTTTGCCAGTTTGCAAAGCCCAGAAAAACAAGTTGACAAATGCAACCAGGGTAGTGCTTCGAAAAAGAAAGTCGCTATATTTTATCTACCAGCGAAATTTAAAGTTTAAGTAAAAAGAGTTAACGACAAAAAAGATGGATTGTACAGTGGTTCCTAGTATTGCCTGACACCTCTAGTATGGTGGGTTTGAATCTCACATCAGCTCTGTGTGTGTGCAATTTGCATGTTCTCATGGCAGAGAGTTCCTCTGGCAGTCCAAAGGCATGCAGTTTGGCTAATTGGTATTTCTACATTTCCAACTGAGTCTGCTTGTGCATGTGTTCTGCCATGGACTGGCATGCTGTCCAGGGTAGACCCCAGCCTTGTGCCCCGTGTTGCCTGGGAAAGGCTCCAGGGCCACCCAGTGACCCTGACCAGGATAGGCTGTTGGAAACTGGATACCCAAACAACAGATGCACTTTTAAAAATATGAACTATAGGCTAAATTGATTGATTGTTATCTTTCATTCATGTCAGTAATGAATATGAATACAAATAACAGTTAAATACAGCACACAAACATCTCTCTAAAAGTGTAGGAGAATTCCTCTGAATGTGAACAGCCACTGTGTTCTGTTCCATATACTGTATAGTAGCAGGGCGTCCACCTGATGAACTGGTTGTGTGATTAAAACCTGCTCTGTCGTAGTGGATGGTTAGGAATTTAATTTATTGCAGAGTCATTGTTGCAAATGCACCTCCCTGGCCAATTGTGTGCCAGGTATGGCTTGTGTTCTTGAGACCATGAGTATCTGGCAATTTGTCCAGCACGCACTTGTATGTAAGATACATTCCCAACTCCGCTGAGGTTGGCTAATCATCGTATGTTTTACCTGGTTTTATTTTTATTTTTATGTGGCACTAAAAGAGATTAATATCTAGGGATCAGGTACCATGCTAGTAGTTCCATCCATCCATGTATTAAATGCTTATTCTGGTCTGGGGGGTATTTAAAGTTATCATTAAATACTATTATTTATTAACAACACGTTCAAGTCTGTGTTTGAAGTTTCAATAGGAGCTTTTGTACCATTATGGATGGTAGCTGCGATTTATGTAAACATTTTGGTAATGGTTTTGTATAAGATGTTTTTGGCAAAAATATAGAGAATCCACTGCACAATTAATACTCTAATGGGTAATAAAAAATGTTCTCTAGGGTTTTTAACGGTCTGTTTAGAAATATGTTTTCTCAGATTTTTACACTCATACTTTCCTTGAAATTGAAAGTATATGATCCATTATTTCAGGTATACAAATGATGATTGCTTTCAACAATAAAATTAGTTGAATACGTAAATGTTACTGAGACAAAAGAGGCATGAATTTGTAATTATAGCTAAATATTGGTTTCCCTGGATTATGGTAGTTATAGTATTTAGCAAACTTGACAAGCTTAAGCCATGGATTTGAATATTTGTGAATATATGGCATTGTGGGGTAATTCGTCTGTCATCATTAAACAATAGTGTGACGTTCCAGTGTAGGCAAAACGGCAGGCTGCGTAGATTCATGTGTTTTTTTGATGTTTGATTGATGAAGACAGTTTTGATGTTTTAATGGGTACTTTAGATATAAATTGATAACCATGATGTAATTAACTGCTAAATTTAAGTAGCATGAAGGAGATCCACCCACTTGGCTCTCCTTTGGGTTTATGGAGTTCACATGTTCTCCCTTTGTTCGGTAAGTTTCCTCCTACAGTCTGAAGACATGAGGTTGCTCTTGTTCCTGATTCTGCCTTTGATAAGCTCCACCTCTCCACCCAAAAAAAAAAAAAAAACAACTGTTGGTCCAATAAGCTTGCGCCTTAACAACAGATTCAAGAAGGTTCACAAAGATTTCACGCTGCAGTGTTAGCGGTATCATAAAGCAGTTCTGTGTGTACAGTAATTCATTAGAAATAATGTTCATATTTTGACATGATAGAAGGCTGTCTTCAGCACTCACTAAAGGAGATGACCCTTCCTGAATTTATCACCATTTATCTACAGATTCAAATCCTCTCTTAGTCTGGGCTTACTCTGATTTTCAGGTTAAATCCTCGGTAGTAAGTCTCTAATGACCGTGTTGTCACTTAAACATACTTGTAATGCTAATTATCTGGCACTTAATGACAGTGTAGTCTTGGTATGACTCAGCACTGAATACAGATATGGATATTCGGAAACAACAATTAATCCTAGGCCCATGACAAATTTTATGGGCAATGAATAATGTACTTTTCATAATAGTGTTACATTAATGTTTTGTCATTACATAGTCTGTACTTCTCGGGGGAATTCATTACAAAAGCTTAGAGTTCCATTCTGTATGGTATTGAATGGCCCTACTTTTTCTATGACTTCCAAAAAAATCGATCATGGATTTATGTATCAAAGATGACTTTACAGACAACAGGGGCCCCAAAGAGCATACGCAGGCCATTACGCATCCGTCTCTAGAGTTAATCATCCTGCCTGTATCACTAATTGGCCCAACTGAAACAATGCAATTGTTAAAAAGTATGCAACCGATACATTGTTATTTCAGCATCACAATGCATATGGTTGAGCCCTTACAATTAATGGATGAATGAATGATAGAATGAATGAATGAAAATGAAAAATATCTGAAATTATGCTTAGTAAGTCAGAGGTTATTTATTGTTTTGTCAGTGTGCATGGGTCGTACACTGAGATGAAATATTGTTATATAATAATGAAAACTATTACAGTAAAAGCTATTGCAGTTGGTTGCTGCTGAGATGGGTATCTTTGCAAGCAACCATGCAACACTGTACAAGATCAGACAGTTTTCTAATGCCAGAATAACATACACAAGAGATTAAATCGGATGTAGAGAATGGAATGTTCCTTCAGCGTTACGAAGTCAGCTTCCTAAAGAAGCTTTAAACTTAAGCACTGTGTTGTATATGGTTATATGAAATATTCTTGCATGTGGATTTTCAAACACTGGCCCTTACACTCACTTTTTGGGAATTATCTGTGTTTTAGGATTACTGGTTTAGTCAAAATATCTTTTTGGAAGCCTTCAAAAGCTGAAAATCACCCGATATGGCTAACTAAACAGCAGTCCTAAAACAACAGTTTAAAACATTACTCCATCAGTAGACAACCTTGAAATGGGATGTGGCTTTTCTGCAGGAAAAGGAGTAGACCTATGATAAATTACTTATATTAAAACAATGTTATGTGACATTTGGATCTACATTAAACTTGATGTGGACCGGAAAACATGTCCAATGAAGTCTTTGTGGAGGCATTAGGATATTAGGTGAACAATGGCCCTGGTCTTTAATATAAAGTCTATCACTCAATAATTTCTACCGGTGTTATAAACACAATGTGTAATGTCCCCTATCTGAATGTTAAGCAGTATAAGTATTTTGCTAAACGTTAATTCCTTCAAATATATGCATTTGTCAGTAACATCAATGTGATAGTGTGCGTGCTTTTCCTGACTTTACCAGCATTTCCTCTTTTACTTTGGGGGCACCTTCTTAATGGACTTGTAAAAGAGGTGATAATAGAGTTACTTCAGTATATTGTTACACACATGGCTAGAACTCAGATGGCTAATCCTACACAAGCTTCAATTTGTCTGACTTTATGAACTTCAATAAAAACACTTATAATGTCCATTCACTTTTCCATAGTTCCACGGCTGGTTTCGATCCACACTGGAGTTTTCAACAAAGAAATCCGCTTAATTCAATCAAATGCCATCAATCCTCTTTTTGAATTAACACTATGTGTTTTTAAATTATTATCTATATATTTTCTGCAATTTCCCTGAGATAAATGCTACTCTTCTCATCCCGAAGCAGTTACACGGTGTTGAATTTGGAATAATATTGAGAAATTTGTCTCAGTGATATTTAAGGTGCACTGAGAGTAATGTGTACAAATGACTGATGAGTCCTTTGCAAGGAGTTGAGTAGGGAACTGGAGCCATGCTATGGAATTTTGCAGCTTAGGGGTCAGAAGTCGCTTTGAGGTTCATGGACGTTTTTCTTCCACTAACAATATCCAGCTGCTTATGCTCACATCTGCTGTAATGATGAAGAAATGAGAATTAGCATTCCCTAATTAGGAAATAGTACAATGTAATAGCAAATACAATAATGTGTCTATGCTAATGTAAAAAACCCACGTTTGTTAAAAATTCTGTCATAGTTTAATTGCTTTGTTTGTTATAATGAAGCTATAGTATTCTTATTAATAGTAAAAATGACTTTAAACATCAATTAACATTAATGATTGGTTAACAATTGATTAAGGGGGCTGTCATTGATTTGACAATGAACACTGATAAATTTTCTAATTTGGGAGATAGATAGATAGATAGATAGATAGATAGATAGATAGATAGATAGATAGATAGATAGATAGATAGATAGATAGATAACTTTATTGTCATTGTCATAAAACAACGAAATTGAAGTGCCTCTTATGTACAACATTCATCCAAGATAAATTAATAAACATGTAAAGCCTCATACATTCAAAGGAGTACATTGTTCAAACATGTTACTGTTTTCACTGTAGATTTACAGCATGAGAAGAGCTACCACTTATACAGGAAGCTTGCATGTAGGCAGAGCATTTTTTGGAAAATAAAAGGTGCCAGTATGCTAAAAATTAAGCCTCATAACCAGATTTTTCAACTAACTGACCAGTTCAACAGTAACAGACCATCCTGTAGGCCTACTCTTTATTTCACAACAATACACTTTTACTAAGAATTAAAAAAGAATAAACCATGGTTAACATCCTTTAAAACATGTGCTAAATAATACATTACTATGATTTGCTTTTTTTATATAAATATACATTACAAACCTAAAGATAATGAATCATTCCAGATACATTGGCATGGATACACAGGTATGGATACAT